GACGTATTAAAGGCTTGAACGCTTGTTTTCGACTCGCACTACTATTCATGATTGAACAAAATTTTTGACAGGTACTGTATGAAAAAGTATGTTTAATGAACAAAAGTCGGGAGTATAATGAGCTTTTTCTCCCTACCTACGATTTTGCCAGCGCGCATCCAAGACATTGGAAGGGGCACATCGCCAGAGAATGTAAATGAAGTATACTTAAATAGCCACTTATCTGTATTTCAACTGAGTTCAATATTTACTATAGCTAACTTCACTTGATACTGTTCGGATTGCTTCGAACAGATTATGTTGATGACGTGCAAACAATCTTATATTAATAATGCAATAGATAGATGACAGATACGTAAATCAAATACAAAAAGAGTTATTTATTTGATGGATGCTAATGCTTATTACAAACAGAAGTACAAGCTGCTTCGTTTATTTAGTTTGGAAGTATAACAAGATTAGAAGTAAACACTATAGATGGAGATATACTCGACGTTGCTTCATGTTAATCAACTTTCTTACAGTTCATGCTCTTCCTTTGTGAAATTGGAATACTTGCTATATTTGGCCAATCCAGGTGTAGAAAAGAGTAAACAAACAGACCATTTAGAAGCTTATATAATTATTTAAACCATCATTTAGTATTAATATACAAATAACTTCTGCTACAGTAAAATTAATGGTCATTAACGTCAACGTATTCTCAATCGTTGATATGTAATAAAAAAACGTTGTGAAAGCTTGTAATGGCGGGAAGACCGATTATAAGATTTATGGATTCTCACCTACGCATTTGGTGACTTCCAGATTGATTAATTGAACATGAGCGTGAGCATAAACCACGTAGAAAACAAAACTAGATTAAGATTAAATGGTTCTCATTCATCATCTCAGTTTACATAACATTTAACCCCCGGTTTCCACAAATTCTCGCTTTCGTAAATTTTAAGCGAATGCTTTGTTGTTTCCCGGAGTAAAAATTCAAGCTAATACTCTGTTATAAATACATATAAGGAAAAACTAAGGTTTACTTTTTATAAGCCGTGCCTTTCATTTATCAGATAAACGGGAGACAATGGTTTAAGCCAAAAATGCAGGATTTGTAGGGAGCACGGCAGGATCAGAATTAAGCTTGCTTCATTCATCAAACCGTGACTCCTGTTGGAAAGGCGGAAAGTGAACTTTAATCTTCCTAATTGTTTGAAAGTTCCTGTACTGTTGCGTTAACAAAACAGCACATTACGTTTAGCTCAATCGAAAAACATAAAAGGTAATTTAAAAAATAACGGTATAGTTGGTACGATCAAAATAGGCAAAGTTCGCAATGAATTATCTGTGAGAATGGACGTATCTTCTTTCTTGTTTCCACTTGGGACTGTAGTCATTTGCTGCGTTTGGAACACGCCCTTATTAAGTTAGGAAATGCTTCATGAGTAGTACAGATAGAGTGAAAAGAGATAACCGAATAATAGTAAGCGGTGCAGCGATCAGAGGTTGCTTAGGTACACAAAAGATCAGGGTCGGATTTATAACTGCCTAGTTAGAATCATATCTTTGCTAGCAACATGCTGAAATTCTGCTGTTCGCATCTCTTTCTGTTACACATGAACTGGTGTAATGTTATTCCGTTTTATTGATTAGTGTCCGCTGCAATTCCTATCTGACATCTCTCTTCTATGTTTACGATATTCCCTACAACGTCTATCGTGCGTAAAAGTTGGCGTTCCGTCAGCAACCGCTTTAGTCTAGATAGTAAATAGAAAGAAGAGAGTAAAAGCGACATTTACATTGGGTACTGTGCCAATTATGAACGTCTCAACTATAGGTACTATTTTTTAATTACCTGGTTACATATATAGAGTAACATTTCCGTTATTTGGAATTTTTAAACAGCTCGCTGTTCATTTAGTGGAGTTCAGTCGCCCATAAAATTAAATTTCCATTCCGAATGTCAACAGGTACATTTCTAATGTTTGATTAATTACTATTCTCTTTAAGTCACCGGGGAAACAGAAGCGACCTTTTTTATTCCAAGCGGGAAGTAGAATCGAAAGATTAACGTCCGGTTTCGAGAAGATTATGTGAAAATAAAACTGACGCATTTACGATGAAACGAAACAGAGGCGCAACAAATTATTTAGTTCAATTTGGTCCGATGGAAGTTCAAACCAGATTAACGTAATCATTGGCTTATATTAGGGGAAAGTGGTCGAGAACGAGTGCTTCATGTATATGTATACTTACAAATATGCAGGGTGTTTCTGGAATAAGTATAAAGCTTGAAGGAGATAATAGGGTCCTAGGAAATATAAAACAGTAAGAAAATGTTTTCTGGTTGGAATGTTGAGTGTTTTCGAGGAAAAGTATAGACAAGGGTCAGTCCGATCCTGGTAAATCATTCAGAAAAATACAACAACGCAACGCCGCATTCAATTTTCTGGTAAATAGCTGCATCAGTATTGTATTTCTTTTGTATCTTTCAGTCATGTATTACTTCTAATTTGTTAAACCAGATTAAGAGTGATTCAAAATGTTTATTAACGTTTTAACATTATATTTATTCAACTGATATGTAGTTCAATAAACTATTTCGACAATACTGCACCAATCATTACAGTAGGTCAGTGTGTCATTGTAAAACAGTTGTTACAATGATGTGACATACTTATTTACGACGCCGATCATGATTGAAGATGTTTATTAACGTTTCAACCTTGTATTGAGTCAACCGATATGCAGTTCAATAAACTATTTTAATAATACAGTACTAATTATTGGAGTAGTAGTAGTGTATCATTGTAGAACAGTTGTTACAATGATATGACATGATACTTGTTTACGGTGCCAATCCATATCGCCGCTGTGGAAGATGAAATCCATGATTTTATTGAAAATAATCCTAAAATAGTACAAGAGAAATACAAAAAAAAATTACTAGGAAGCTATGTAAATAGAGGTTGTTGAACATATTGAATTCCACAAAATGTAGCATTGTACTGCAGATGGCGTTTACCGCGGCGTTTGTAGGATTTCATAAAACGTTGTCTCAAGGCAACAGGTAGATTTTGTCTGTGTTCTATCGAAGCTGTCTGTGACGCGCTGATGAGATCCAATAAGATCGAAATCGCAATCCGCGTCTGGTTGCTTCGACAGAATACTGGCCTTCATGAACTTCTCTGTTAGAAAACTCGTAACAAGTTTCGGCTAGGCGATCATTTTCAATGAAATATAGCACATAAATCTTATATTCGTTCTCTCTAACTGCTAATGCAGTGTTAAGTTTATAAATGCATGTTTACAGAAATGGAGAAAGCGAAAATTACATTTTAATTTTTTATTCATTCTGGACTGGTACCTAGTCTCTGAAGTAGATAAATTTTCTCTTGTTTTACACGTAGTGAAACATCTGCAGCGATGAAAACGTACCTCTCATAATGGCGAGGAAATTCATTATTTCCAAGAGAGAAAATTTTTATTTCAACTTTTTGGATAACTGCATTTGTTCAGGCAGTAAAATCAGGAATTTTCAGAGTGCACCATTCCGTTAAAGTCTATGAAATAAAGGCAAATTTCAGTTTCAAGCAAATTCGGAAGCATCTACAAATTTAAATATTTAAATGCTTGCGTTTCAAATAAATCTTGATGGCGATACCTTATACCTTATATGGCGTGTAAATGCGTGGGTATGAAATTTATGCCTCGTTAAGTCGTGTAGTTAGTAAGCGACCACAAAGGCAACAAAAGGTTGATCGATCCAAGCGAAGTTGCAAATCACGGAGAGCTTAGTGCGACTGTCAAGAAAAAACTTTGTTGGTTTATTTCATTCCTTTTAGACTGTTGGAAGTGAGAGAATAACGACAAGTAAGATTTAAGGATTTATTTCGGGATTACCTGCCCCATTGTGTTTTCTTATTTTCGCGATATTGGAAGGGCGCAAATACGTTCAAAATTTGAAATTTCAGCTATTCGTTAATTCCTGTCAGTCACCTCATCACTGCGGATGTCGACGAAATTCAATTTTAACAATTATTCTTATAATCACAGTCACACTGTATCACCTTGTCGTATTACTTTTTGGAATGAAGAGTTACCTCTGCAAAGTAATTCCAGTCTTTCGGTGTTTAAGATATTTACAATTTTTACATGCCTCTGAAAAATGGCACGCTATGGGTGTCTATCTGTACTGTAATTGTGGTTGTTGCCACCAACTGATCGAGTTGTTCTAGGTAGTTGCTTAATTTATGGATATTAATGTGCTTGTAATAACAATCCTATGTCGGATAGCAAATGGACTGAGCTATTTTAAATCGTCATCATCATAAGGTCGTCAGTCCTAAGACTGGTTGGCCACGCACTTCCACTCTTTCCTATCCTGATTTAATCTTCGCAAAAACTAGAACATCCCACAACCTTAACTATTTGCGAACAGTAATCTATTAGAAGGTCTACCTCTACTTCTCTTAACTCCTGTTTCTGCCTCCATTATGTCAACCTTCATGGCTGAGAAGGTGTCCTACCAACCTATCTCACCTATCTTTTATTAACTTCCGTAGAATCCTCTGTTCGCAGAGAAAATTGAAAAGACAGGCAAAAACTAGAAGAAAAACTAAATTTATCGAAATACGTAAAGGAATACAAAAAAATACACTCAATCGATCTTCTCCTTATAGTTCTTCCGCCCTTTTTTCCATCCTCCTCTGTACAATTCTAATTAAGATTTTTGACGCATGGGAAGTTAAGCTATTTTAAATAGGTGACATGTTTTTAAAATTTACCTACGGCTTTCTCTTAAACACGACTTCGACTCATGAGTATACTCGCTTGAGATTCATACTGAAAACATCGACTGCCATATTTATATAATGCATGGTGTACCTTTTTATTAAGCTCTATGCTGTAGAAATTGAATTTTATGAATAGGCTGAATATTATAGTATGACATTGTCCATTTTTGTTAATGCGTAACGTACCTTTATAAATAACGTTATTTTCTTTTCCAGGGATCCTTGGACGTAAGATGTAAGATGATAACGGTAAGTGCTCAGTGCAATATTTCTGTAGAATATCATAATACGCGGTTTATTACGATGAAATCTGTATCTGAACACATTTGATGCCTCAACTTCTGCTGGAATGTCGTACCATTATTTTAATATTTATGTTGAAACTAATTGTTTTGCCCAGAAATCACCTGCTTACGAACAAGTGTTTCTGGCACTGTACCAACTGCAATAATACAGTTAGAGTTGGAAGGATTTGTTTGTAAAGAAGTTCAATAAATTGCAAACTTAATTCTATTACAGTATAAATCACGGACAGTAGTTTGTCAAAATTTAAATGCTATTTAGGAAATTGCCCATGAAATGCTGACCAGTAGCGGTTCGTGAGTACATTTGGAGGTAAGAGTACAAGAGAACGAACGCACTTGAAAATGGTGTTCCAAAAATTTGAACTAAGGCGCTGCAATCGCTATGCTAGCTACTGCTACTGTTTGGATATATCATGACGACGCTAACTCCATCTGTGTTTTTTAATTCATAGGCCTGGTGAACCAACGCTGTCTTGTATTCTAACCCAATGACTTCATCTAAGATTTTCCGATGTAACTCGTATTGAGTTTGTAAACTTAGAATATTACTTTGAAAACATATAAATTCAAATTTCATTGAATTGTACATCGTCACTTGTACAGTTAAATTTCAACTGACAAGTTCAATATCTACTGTTGCTAACTTCAGTCAGTATTGATCACATTGCTTCCTACAAACTACGTACGTTGATAGGGCACACGCAATCTTAAAATAATAATATAATAGAGTATCTACCTTATATGCGCGTTGAATAGATGTGTATATAGAATACATTTATATAAAGCCAGGAGGAAAATATCTACGATAAAGCATAGGAAAATTGAATCGATTATTGTAGAAAACCAATTCGAACAGGCAGGAAGCCGTAAAATCTTTTTGTATAGAAGGCACAGGAAAATCACTTTAACAAAGCGGAACCTTGCCTAACGGGAACTCAAAACTTAATTCCGAAATAAATATCAAATGGAAAATGTAAAATTTATTAAAATGACTAATTTAAACAAATAAAAGTTTTACTTCTTATTAACACCTGTCATTGCAGTCAAGTTGTAGGTAGGCAATTATGCGAAATATCAAATGGAAACAAAATTTGGGATTGAAAATAAATACTGCGTTGCTGAGGTTGAAGCTGGCCTCAGAATTGCCGCAGATACATCAAGATTTTGAAATATTTTGACTTTAAAATCCAAATTTTGCCAATTTGGTTAAGGTTATTGGTTTTGTGATCATAATATCTTAAAATTTCAATATACTGGGCCGGTTCTGGATTGAGATTGAAAGTTCCCTATTAAAAAATTATCTTATAAATATACCTATCAGGTAAAGAGGGTAAAGACGACTTGGAACATACCTTGACTCCTTTCTATCTTGAGCCAGTCTTCGCATTTCCCTAAAACTAGGACTACGACTTGATCTTGTTTCTACTTCTAATATGATCCTAATTAACTCTTCGTATCTCAAAAGGTATACTATACTTCATTTACTTTCTGTAGCGATGTAACGTTCAGTTTGACCGACGCAAAGTAGAAAAGAACAGCACTAGGCCAGAAAAGGAAGGAGACAACTCTCGGCCAAAGTCTTAACCGGTGAGGAGCATATAATCCGTAAAGTACTGCACGGAAAAATTGACCATTTTATTCACTACACTTGCATTGCTCAAATGTGCAGTTATTTGTACCATTTACTACTGAAAAAATCAACAAGATGTTTATTTATATTTGAAGACATATTAAAGGCTTTAACGCTTGTTTTCGACTCGTACTACTGTTCACGATTGAACAAAACTTTTGGCAGGTACTGTATGAAAAAGTATGTTTAAAGAACAAGAGTCGACAGCATAATAAGCTTTTTTTCTACCTACCTTCGATTTTGCCAGGGCACATCCAAGACATTGGAAAGGGAATTTCGCTAGAGAAAGTAAATGAAGTATACCATCCTATTTTCCTTTTTCTTGTCGACTTTGATTACTCTCTTTCCTTTTCTAATGCCACCTCAGTTTTAATCTTTTCTATCTACACAAGATTTTCATCATCCACCTATAACATCACATCTCAAACTAACATTTTCTTTTCAGCTGCAATACGTGAGGTATGATATTTTTTGGCCTTAGGTTCATGATGCTTATAGTAAACAGTTAAAAATCGGTCACAATAACTTTAAGGACATAAAAAGTTGCAACTTTTAGTCAGGAATTGATATTTGCATTAGCCGATATAGGGATATTGAAAAAGAAAAGGGAAATTAAGTAAACAATTGCCTTATCGATTTCAGAAGGCATTAATACTCCTTTTCTTTCGTTATATCCTTTTTGTAGAAGGTTTTTAAGTCTGAAAGCTTTTTTAGCATTTTAAATTGACACTTACGCAGGACTAAGCGGAAAGTTAATCTAAAAGAAAAATTCTTATATCCTGAGCGTAACTTAAAATCCGATCGAATTTACAAAATCTGCAACAAATACTGTGATTAAAATCAGTTAGGATAGCAGACGCAACTTCTTTAGGTACGCAAAAACGTATTTCGCAGAACTTATCTGCCCGATGCGAATCCTGAGAATATATAAATTGGAAATTTGTCTTTAAGTGGTATAGTTCTAGAAATTTAGCATTTGGGAGGACACCGGCTCGATTCCGGGTCATTTAGGCAAATGCCGGGGCAATAATAATATTCCGCGGATAATCTTTTACTTCCCTTGTGTCTTCATTCTGTGCGTCTCATACTCCACCCTTCTCATTCCTGCGATTCCTAAAAAGCTGGTGGAAATAAAATACCCTAAACCTTTTCGTAAGTGATGCTTGGCAATCTCAAAATGTTTATAACATTCACGTGTCTCGCTAAGGACCGCATCAAGCTCGAAAAGTAAAAGGTTGTACCGTCTTTGTTTTGTGCGTAATTTTACCACTGAGGAGATATATATATATATGGGGGAGTACCCATAAGGAAAACCAGAGTTGTATACATATTTACAATAATGCCTTCGTAAAGAATTTCTTGATGTTGAAAGCTGTGTGAGCTAACTCTTTGTCATGATGAAATAGTAAATGAAACTGAACGTGAATGACTTCTTTGATGTCTAGAAAATTGGACTTGTCGTGTGTATGGACAAAGTTCATCTCATGTAATTGCTTCTGGCAATCTGCAGGTTTGTCCCTCTTATTTCAATTCTTGGCACCCTCTCAAACGATTCTCCTTCTGGTCATCAGATAGCAGCGTTGTGGAGCAAACTTCAGTTAACGTGAACTCCAGGAGATTCCTGTAATTTGACGTTCTATTCGTCGATTATTCTGCGACTATCAAACATGATGGAATTATGTACTTTCTCATTTATTCTGGACGTTGAGAAGCGACCCAAATGGGCTTCATCTTTACATTTGACCATTTATGAATCGGAAACTTCCCATAAATTCTTGAATAGCTAGACATTCCTTATCAGGATGCTCGAAGCATTGAAATTGTTTCTACCGGGAACAAAATTTGATATTAAAGTTTATCAGTTGTTGAAAGCGTTTTGATCAACTTATCCGCTACGATTATTTCCCATGAAGTATTTCTGGTCATCCAGGAAGGGAAAGTGTGGGGTACTGCCAATTCAATAGCGTACACCCCCTCGTATATTATATACTACCAGGTCTGTCGAAGCCTGATACCTTTTGTTTCAAATTTGGTACATTTTACTTCGGTGCAAGCATTATTATTTTTCGAATATTTCTCACAAAAAGTAATGCTACTTACCGCAAGATGGCAATATGTACGTTAAAATAAGTCTACACTCCTTATTTCACATAGTTAATAAACGCTTTGAGTATGCAACTAAATCGTGTCGATATCTTTAAAACAGTGTCTAATGACAAAAGATCTCATTCTTTTTACTTTTACGTAATGACCCATCTACCTGAATAAAAATCAATTGCTTGGAACGTATAAAGTAAATTGAGTAAATTTACATTATCTAATAATGGCCAATGATTAATGACCTTTATACTAAGTGACTTTACATTAACAAGACAGATACTTATTTACAAGTAAAATAATCAGGGGCATCAAAACGCTAAATGCGTTTTGAAAAACTAATAAATATCGTTGACATGCGAGCCACTGTTAGTAAGGCAGAATGTCAGGGAAAGTCTGGTATTTTATATTTACAATGCGTTTTCTCACTTGTATTCGATAGAATCAACCTACCAATTACGTGTTCAGCGGTGATTTTAATCAACCTGAAATCGAGACCTTGTCGTGTCTGCGTTCGCAAAAGAATTACCATTCTCTTCACGAAATATTACAATATCTGTATCTCATTTCCAGTCTAATTGTACCGAGTTTGAATAAGAATAAATCATTGTTGTTGTCATTAGGAAATAACACATCAAAATAATAAAAAAAGGCAAAGTGGAACAATTGAAATGAATAAATCATTGTATAATTTTGGATTGTAGCCTTATTTTGGACGCTGAATTATTTCTTTGGGCTGAATAAGGATACAAGTGATACCAAAAAATATCATTTCCATTAAAAATAACTTTATTATTAAATTAATTCGAAATGGTCTGTATTCTGTTGAAACTGCCAGACGCGGATCGCGATTTCGATTTTTTTGGACTTCATCAGCGCGTCGCAGACAGCTCCGACAGAACACAGACCAACTTTATTATTAAATTAATTCGAAATGGTCTGTATTCTGTTGAAACTGCCAGACGCGGATCGCGATTTCGATTTTTTTGGATCTCATCAGCGCGTCGCAGACAGCTCCGACAGAACACAGACCAACTTTTACCTGCTGTCTTAACCCTAGAGTGGGCGCGTCTTTTTGCGAAACGCTAGTAGGCGCGTAGGAAGTATTTTGCCGCCCCCTTTTCTTTGACCATTTTAACTAGTAATACAGCAATTTAATCATTTTTTCTTTCAGGATTTAAATAATATACTAATAAGTAATAATAAATCAAATTATT